CATTGCTTATGAGAAGAGAACCTAGAATGTATATTCTTATACTTGGAATATTCATAGGCATTTTGCTCTTTAACATTTATGTTGTGATAGTAAAACCAAGACTGGGAAAAGCAAAACTTGTGCATTTTTTTGGACTATTTTCTTGATTGTTTTATTCCAATTTGAATTTATCTTTAGATCGATCAAAATTGTGTTTTAATATAATGTGAAACGATAAACATGTTTATGAGTCTTCGACCAGAGGTGGACCAAGGGGTTCATCATTTGCTATATATATGTAACCGGTATTTCATTCAAGAACTAAAGCTAAAAAAGTACCTTGAAAGGACTTCATAGCTAGACTACTATATAGGTAAGTAAAATAAAAATCTAGGCTAAGGTAATTAACTTGTTTTTTTGTTATAATTAAAACTAAGATTAATAATTTAATTAAATTATTTAAGTACATTCAAGGGTTGTTTGACAATCCAACCCTCATTATCAATGAATGATAGACTAATTAAGTGTTGTAACTCATGTTTGCTCAAAATTGCTTTCCATAACACTCTTTTTGAAGTGTTTGATCCCATTCCTTTGCATCTTTCCTCAGCAAATGTTAATTGTTTCCTAAATCATAAACAAAAAACAAAGAATGAACATAATTAAAATCAACACAAAAATTAATGCATAAGAAAATTAATTAATTGACCTTGACACTAATGTAAATTAGCCGAACAAGTGAATTTCAAATACCAGATGATTAGATCGGTACATTAAGTAGCCTTAACTCGTGACACTAATGTATATTAGTCGAATAAGTAAAATCTAAATACCAGATGATTGAATCGGTACGTTTCGTGGCCTTAACTCATGACACTAATGTAAATTAATCGAGCAAGTGAATTTCAAATACCAGATGATTAAATTAATGCGTTTAGTAGCCCTAACTCATGAAACTAATGTAAATTAGTCGAGCAAGTGAATTTCAAATACCAGATGATTAAATAGCCCTTACTCATGATGCTAATATAAGTTAGTCGAGCAAGTGAAATTCAAATATCAGATGACCAAATCGGCGTGTTTAGTAGCCCTAACTCATGAGACTAATGCAAATTGGTCGAGCAAGTGAATATCAAGTATCAGATGATTAAACCGGAAATGAACTTACTCTTTGCCACCAAAGACTCCAACATCCCAACCTTGAGGAGTGATGACATTAGACATAGATGAATCATAGAATAAAACTCTTGCATATTGTCTCCATGGTCTACCCAAGAAAATTTGTCCATTTCCAATAACATTACAATTCTTGAACACAAATCCACTTGTATCATTTACATTTTCTCTTCCATGTGCTGTTATATACCCTATTAATCCATTTAAAGCTCCTGCATTTACTGATATTGTACAATTCTGCATAAATATTATAAAACAATCAAAACATTAGTGCTTAGTAATTTCATTAAAATAATAAGAAGATTTTAAAGTGATATGCTATATAGTAGTCTATCAAAATCATTGTTGATTGCTTCAATGAAAATAAAGAAATGAGGTAAACAAATGCCTAAAATATTTAGAAATATTAGATATATGAACCAATTATTGTTTTATATTAACTTTTGTTCGTTAGAATTCATAAACTTCAAATATTAGATCCGCGTCTGTTCATATAATATATGGTCATGGGTTTGAGTCATGGAAATCATTGATGATTGTATTGAGATAGACTGCTAACACTACATCCCTCAGTTATGGCCTTTTCGGAGTTATGCACGTGAAAGCTAAGTTGAATTTGAAATTTATAAATTATAAACTCGCGATCAAATCCATCGATCATTTTAGTTACTAGGTTCACAATTAAATATTTATACAAAGTTAATAAAGTTCTTGAATAAAAATTTAAAATCTAAGCAAATACTACTGAATTCATCTCAATCCGTACCTAATATTATAGCTCTATCCTCTAAGCTCTGACTAAATGCAGCGAGCTGTCTTTTATTGTTATTTGTTTGTATATACGATAAGATCTCTCTGAAACATTCATTCACTAATAATAACATATATTTTTATTCTACTATAAAGTCTATATTTTTAATTGATTTTTTTCTAAAGTTATCAATTGTATTATAACGGTTAAATTTATCTGAACAAACGACACTGTTACCTCATAAATGGATTTACCATTACCAAAGATGAAATCAACAGCTCCTTCAATGGTACAAAATTTGAAATAATGTCTTCCTTGAACATCCCATAATGTATCTTGAAATCCAAGAAATTTACACTTATAAAATACACATTTGTCACCAGAAATCACAACTGCCACTGCCACCACCCTAGGATGTTTGTTTCTTTTTGGAGGATAATTATAAGAATTCTGATAATTAAAAATAAATAAATAAATAAATAAATAATTTGCAACAATAAAACTTTTTTAAAAAAAACATACTAGAAAAATTAACATATTAATCTGTTTCAAAAAGAATGAATAAGTTTAGATTAAACTCGAGATATACGAATTCTCTTTTTGTAATTGTAAAGGAGTTTAGTTATTGAACTAAGACATAACTTTTAACTTATTCAGAAACGACGAAATCTTTTTTGAATAGATAAATTTAAATTTACAAGGATCGAATTAATGACGTATACAAATTTTTTTATATATATAATTAAAAATTATTTTATAATATTTTTTTTTACTTACTATAAATGTGATACTTTCCACAATTGTATTATTAGCTTCAGTAGTAAAAGTAGCATCAGTATCAATTGAGCCATGAGCATCCCAAGTTACAATAACTTCTCCATTTTTATCTCCTTTTAGATAAATATATGGCTTTTCTCTAGGGATTTTCACTTGTTCCCTAATATCACAAAAAAAAAATCATATTAAAATAGCATAACATGTTATTAAAATAATAATTTAAGTTTTATAAACTGACAAAATATATATATATATATATATATATATATATATATGTATTTTTATATGTTATCTAATTGTATCGATGTCGTGATCATATTGAATCCTTGAAAAAATAGTATCTTTAAGGATCGATTGATCAAGACTGTAGTAATATTTCTAGAGAGTCGAAATCTATAACAAGAAAAATAGGTTGAATTTCAACGTTAGTATAATCATTCTATTTCAATATTGAATAAATTATTTATAGCTAAACAGTAAAATTCATTGCTGATACAGTTTAATAATAATTAAGAGATGGATTATAATTTAAAAACTATTAACTATGAGCTATTTAGCGACGAATTTCATATAGCTGATTTCACTTTTAAAAAATTGTAACTTAAATTCGAAAAAATATCGATATAACAATATACTAAATTGATACTTATATTGTTTTATTTAGCAACAAAGTTCATAGCTAATTGCCAGGTATATAACTTAAAATCCTACAAAGAATATATAAACCAAGATAATTATTAGTTATCTATATTATTATTTAGCGATAAAGTTCATACTTAATTTCAATTTTTTCTACGTGCCACTATATATATAAGTTAAATACATAAATTTCAATTATTTAATGACAAAGTTCATATATAGCTGATGTTTATTGTTAGTATACATAACTTAAATCCGTAAAACGCTATATAAATCAAAACCAACACACTAAACTAATACCTAGATTGTTATTTAACGATAAAATTCATTTTTTCCCATATGTTTACTGTCAGTATATATAACACAAATTCGAAAAAAAAAAGTATATAAACCAAGATTAATACCTATATTGTCCAGGTTTGATGATAATACAGATCCAATATTGATTATTTTGAGGGATAGAATCAATGGCTGATTGAATAGTTACAAATTTGCCATGTCCAGATGGATCAACATACACCGTTGGATATTTTTTTTGCCCTTTAAAATGAAATTTTGCATTTCCAAGTTCAATAATACCTAGGAAGAAAATAAAAAAATTAAAGAAAAAAGAAGACATTTTGAAGAAAAAGATAAGTGTGAGATTAAAAGTTACAACAACTTTATTATAAAGAGTTGGATAGGAAAAAAATAAATAAATAAAACTATAGTATATATGGAAACCTTTAATTTAATACAACTCTATATTGAGAGGGGAAGGAATAAAATATGTACAATTTTATATAGAGAGACATAAATGGAAGGGAAATTAAATAAATATTGTCAAATAAAGAATTTTTTCGAAAGAAAATAATTGATATGATTTGACAAATCTGTTTTGAGATGTTAACTTCCATTTTTAATTTATTTTTTTGCTCAAGTAGTATTAATTAGACATTTTTAGAATCTTGGAATTTCCACTAGTGATGTATGATTGATAATTAAGATGAAAATATAAATAAGAAAATGGGGAAACATAAATTGTTTGTGATTAATTATGTTATGCAGGGATTAATTGATGTGGCCATTAATGTGAAATAATATTCAAAAACAAATGAAAGGTTCTTATTCACTAAAAGTAATTCAGGACGTAGTTTGGTGCGAAGAAAAATACTTTACAATTTTTTTTATGTTTGATAGACATAAATATTTTAGAAAATGTTTTTCAAATTTAAGTCATGATTCTCACTTCGAGACCCAACTCTTCGATTTTAGATTGAGTCAGGGTTGGATCTCGAGTTAGAATTAGAGGTCGGGGTCGAGTCTCGGACGTCGGGTCTCGGCTTAGTTCTCAGATTAATTATCAAAGTTGATTTTCAGGTTAAAAAACTATTTATTAAAAAGTATTTTATATTTTTTAGCAAAAACTAAAAAAAGAATAATGTCACTTTAACACCCCTTACGTTATCTGAGTATGATTTTTCAAAAATAATTCTTATATATATTAAACAACTTACTCTGGTAGAGATCTAATCAGAATAAATATTGAACTTTCTTATAAAAAATCCTCTTTTTTTTCCGAATAGTCTTAACGTCCTTATTGAGAGTCGTTCTGTGAAACTGAATCATTCAATGGTGAAATGTTTGTAAAAACAGAAGGACTCGCCCAAAGAGTGGCGGAACAGAGGAGATTAACATATGTGTATCACTAAAAGCATGAGATTCGATTTCATTACCAAAAAAAATGAAGGATAAAAAGAGTCTGAGAGTCTTCTCAAACACAGCTTAACTGAAAATGCACCACTCAGGAGGTCAATGTAACTAAGAAAAAGGTCGAGAATAAGATGATTTATCGATCTTTAACAAAATTGTACTTCGTAATAACTATGTCTCAACTCCCAATTCAATACTTGATAGGAGCAATAACGGCGAGTTGAGGTCCAAGCTTCTCCTCAGCAGCTTTCTCAGCCTTAACTCTAAGTTTTGCCAACTGCTTTCTCCTCTCGTATGCTACCTGAGCTCTCTCCTTTCTCTTGTTCTCGAGTTCCTGTTGTAGTCATGATTTCGAGGGACAGAAGTAAGCAACTGTTTGAAACATATCAGCATACACATCATGTTGCTCGACTAAATGAGTAAACTTACCTTGATAGTATCATAATGGTTCCATCCAACTTCTGATGAAAGCTTGCCCAAGAGACAGTACTTGTGTCCGGATTGGAGCCTCAATACCCTGATAACAAAATAAAGAAGTGTCGGTGTTACAAGAACAAGGATACCAAGAATTTTAACTATATCTGCATCTTCAACTCACTTTAGAGCATCGGGGATAACCATCCTCTTAATCTTGTCATATGGTGGTGGAACACCCTCATAAACCTTCAAGCGGGCAAGTGCAGCTGCTCCACGCTTGGTCTTGTGAGGAATCATCCTAAGGTAAAAACAGTTACACGGTAATGATATGAAATAACTACCACAGACATAACATTCATCAATCAAACAGGAAAACAGAAAGAGAATATAAGAGTGAGCAAAAGGCGTGTGTCAATTGCCAATGATATGAAATGAACATTGCACCACCTAGACATGACATACTAAATGCAACACACCTTCAGTAAAAGCTCATCCAGGTCCAATCCACAAGTTAAAAATCTTTTATCAACATTTAAACAAATATGTTAAGCTCTATCTACAAGTGTTACTTGACAAGTTTTGAAACTCAGCACCATATCCACTAAAATCAATGGACATTGAGGCAGATACTTGAATATTCAGTAGTTGGTACTAAAAAATAGTATACTTCCTTCATACTATTTTTTTTCATGGAAATGGTAATGCAAGTGAATGCTGGAAGCCATTTTTACAGTCCCCCCTAAACAAAACTTGTTCTTCTAACAACATAACCAAAACTACTTGCACTGATTCTCGAAAACACTGATAGAGATTCATATCATACAGCCGCAAGATAGCCCATTTAAATTAGTCCAGCACCACTACACTATTCATGTAAAAAATAGATCTAAAGCTACAACAGCTATGCCATAATTCAAAATTAGTATGGATCAATAAGGCAAACCACCAACATAATTCATACTTCTTTAGGCACCTGCTCCATTCAAATGAATAAATCCACAGGATCTACCTCAGTAGCTCTTGTCAAGGCAGTATCTAACATAAACAATTTGAACTTATTGAAATAGCATTATACACATAAAATTTATATATGCCTTTATTCCAAACTAGCTGGATGATTGCACAATATCTATTATGCTTAATTTTTTACATCCCCAGCATCACACTAATAATCAAAATAGAGATACTTCAACGTTCCCCTAAAGTATTCTTTCACCAAGAGCTTCATGCTAACGCTAATAATCAAAATAGAGATACTTCAACGTTCCCCTAAAGTATTCTTTCACCAAGAGCTTCATGCTAATGATAAAAATCATACCTTTTAACATAATACAACATTCTCAAACACGACAAATACTTCACCATTCCCCGAAATGATATCCAAACTACTAGGGGAATGCACAGCATCTAATATGCTCCTTTTTGGCAATAACAGGTTCATGCTAATCATCAAAATCACACCTTTAAACATAAATAAGGTTCTCGAACATCGAACACAAGAGATATATCAACATTCCCCTGAATTGTTCTTGCATAACAACAGAGTGAATGCACAGTATCTATTTTCTTTTTGGCACCAATAGCTTCACACTAATAATCAAAATCACACCTTTTACATAAATTCAACATTCTCAAATGCAACAGATAAACACTCACAATCATCATTAAACTTAAAAAAAAACACATAATTCAACAAATAGATTAAAACCACAATCAACAAAAAGGAAGGCTGAGATAAACAAATCATACCCACGGATTGTACGCCAAAGGATCTTAGAAGGAGCACGAAAATGGATAGGACCATGAGATGGCTTTGTATTCATTCTCTTACGAAGAAATCTAAGATACTTCATTTTCTGGCGAACAAGTCCACCGGAAAGACAAATCTCTTCACATCTAACAACAACAACTCTCTGTCCATTGAGAAGCTCTTTCGCCAAAATTGAAGAAAGTCTTCCAAGCATATGGTGGCGAGCATCCACCACTATCCTCCTTGCGCTGATCCCTGAACCTGAAACCATCTTCTCTCTCCTCTCTTTCTCTCTCTAACACACAGTGCTCTGCTAACCCTAGCTTGCTGCTTGTGAAGAAATGGAGAAGAAGGTTAGGGTTTTTTTAGGGGATTTAATTGGGCCGTGAATGAGTTTTATGTGGTTTGGGCTTTTTTTTGTTTATGGCCCATTGGGTCATACAATTTCTTTGGTACCCGTTTTGGAGTCCGACTATATAAATTCACAATTGAGTAAAATATTTTTTTAACGAAGACGACTCGACTCGACTCTATAGGTAGGGATAAAATCAATAACTCGCAATTTTGTTCTTTTGATTTCTCATTTGGTTTTGTTACCTGCTTTGGAGCTCAACTACGTCATAAAATCTCATATTGAAAGGTACAGTGCTTTCTAATAGAGATGATTCTGTAGTTGGTGTTTGAATCAATGAATTATAATTAATTTTTTTAATTGCTCATTTAGTGGCCATGGTTATATTTATATTTACTTATGAAAGACTCACATTGAAAGGTAAAACCTCTCTAACAAAGATGACGACTCCGCAACTAGGGTTCAAATTAATGATTCATAAAATTTTCTTTTTAATTTCTCATTTGGTGTCTGTTAACTGCTTTAGAGCATGATTATATTTAAATTGACATCGAAAGATCTCATATTAAAAGATAAAACACTTCATAAACCTCATGAAAGTAACTCGGTATCAACATAAAATTATCATATGAAACTTCATATTATACATTAACAAGATAGTGATATACAAAACACCCAATAATGTACCCAAAAAAAATATACATATGCACAAACCAACAAATATCATCTAAGTTTGCAAATACTCAATTATGAAAATTTAGCTAAATACATAGGATAAATTTTATTTTCAAATTTTTGGTTTTTTTTATTTCAATTGACCCCATTACACATCACCTTCTTCTGGTCCATGCATTATGCCAAAATAAATAATCATCACTTGAATATGACATAACATTAAAATAAATGGATATATCACTTTCACATGCTACACAAAAAATTATTACTTGTTTATTTGAATAATAATTATGCCATAGTTGGAGTTGTTTCTATATATTGATTGATTGATGAAATAACACTTAGAAATAAAGGGAATAAAGAAAAAGAAAAGGAGTTATGGGAGTTGATAATAAAGTGTTGAAAACATATGATGAAGTTTCATTGCATAATAATCCTAAAGATTGTTGGGTTATCATAAATGCTAAGGTACGTATAAAAAACCTTTCTCAATATTATTTTTACGATACATAAAATATTATGTGTTTATATAAATTCTGAAAAAGAACAGTACTTTATTCTAATACAAACATCAGTAACTAATTCGATAGCCCAGATTCATCACACCATATTGGTTACAGATTTTTCTCTTTGAATCAAATGAGAACTAGCTAGATTCAATTTAATTATGTATTTTTATGATCTAAAATTAGATGTCTTATTGTATTTATGAAAGTCAACCCTGATCATGTTATAGATCAAAATTATGATATGATCAATTTGTTTTTGACACTAATTTATATTTAAGAAATTACATTTTAAAAAAAGTATTTTAATATATGCAGGCATACAATGTGACAAACTTCCTAAATGATCATCCTGGTGGTGAAGAAGTCTTGTTGGCAGCAGCAGGTGCACCAA